ACAAGAATTCAGATAGCTCCCTATAAAGCATTATACGGGAATCGGGAAAGGTTCGATTGTTGGGTACAGATTTGGTACATGATGCCTTGGATAAGGTCAAAATTATTCAGGATCGACTTCGTACTGCTCAGTCTAGGCAGAAGAGTTATGCCGACCATAAAGTTTGTGATGTTGCGTGGTTGGAGAAAGAGTATTGTTCTGGGTTTCACCTATAAAGGGTGTGATGAGGTTTGGAAAGAAGGGCAAGTTGAGCCCTAGGTATATTAGACCATTTGAAATTCTTGAGAAAATGGGTGAGGTGGCCTACAAGCTTGCATTGTCACCTATTTTATTTGCAGTCTATCTGGTGTTCCATGTATCTATACTCCAGAAGAATCACGATGATCCATACTATGTGTTAGATTTCAGCTCAGTCCAATTGGACAAGGATTTGACTTATGAAGAGGAGTCGGTAGTTATTCCAACCCTGCAGGTCACACAGTTGAGGTCTAAGAGTTATCCTTCAGTTCGAGTGTAGTGGAAGGGTCAGCCAATTGAGGAAGCCGCGTGGTAGTCCGAGTCGGACATACGGAATAGATATTCACACCTTTTCACCAGTCCAAGTACTTTTCTATTTCCGTTCGAGGATGAATGTTTGTTTTAGTGGTGAAGAATATGATGACCCGATAGGTCATCTTTAATTTTAAACTTTATTTTTGTGTTTTGAGACGTCGAATAGCTCCATTCATCCTTCCTCAATTTGTGTGCGCAGTCCGTGTTTTAATTCGGGAGGTTTTATGTGAAAATTTGATAAAAATATGAAATCATGTTTTAAAACTCATTTGAGTTGAATTTGGTCAACATTTTGAGCAAACAGATCTGGATCAGTGTTCTGATGGTCCCGGTGGGTCCGTATCGTGATTTAGGACTTGGGCGTACGCCCAGAATTAAATTCGGAAGTCCTAGCTTGAATTATTGCCAATTGTTGAAAAACTAGAAATTTATAGGTTTAAGATTCCAAAGTTTGATCGTAATTTGACCTTGTTGATATTGTCTTCGGATTTCGATTCCGAGGGTTGGAATAGCTCCGTTATGTTATCTGGGACATTCCAGATTGATTTGATATGTTTCGGCACGAGTTATAGAATTGAAAATTTCATAAATCCATTAAGATCGAATCGAGGTGTGATTTGTAGTTTCGACATTATTTTGTGTGATTTGTGACCTCGAGTAGGTCTGTGTTATGTTATGGGACTTATTGTTATATTCGGACGAGGTCCCGAGTGCTCGGGTGAGTTTCAGACAAGCTTCGAATAAATTTCATGCGTTGGACAGGTCTGGTTCTGGTGTTTCGCAACTGAAGCTTGTCGCTTCTGTGACATTGAGGCCAGGCAGGAAACTTTGCTTCTGCAAAGCTTTGAATGCAAGTGAGATGCCGCTTCTGCGGAACAATGATCGCACATGTGGAAGGCTCGCTTCTGCGGCTCCGTTTGGCACTTCTGCGCAGTCACAAATGCGACTCATCTTCCGCAGGTGCGGACCTCTACCTGGCAAGCTTGCTTCGCAGATGCGAGAATTTTCTCGCAAAAACGAGACTGCAAGTGCAAATTAAATTTGCATAAATGCGAAAGGACTCGGGCAGAATCCTTAAGTTCGAGGGTTTGGCATTTTGTTCATTTTTGAGTTTGGAGCTCGAGTTTTGGGCGATTTCAGAGGGATTCTTCACGAGTTTTATTCGGTTAAGTATTCTTTATCCAAAATTAGTTATATTTATTTATTTCATTCTTATTTACATCATTAATTAGGGAATTGAATGGGGGAAAAAAATGAGATTTTTGTAAAATTTTCCAAAAACGAAAAAATGAGGATTTGAAGGGTGATTCGGTAATGGAATTCGATAATTTTTATATGGTTGGACTTATATCGGAACAGATGTTTGAATTTCGTAAATTTTTGTAGGGCTCCGAGGTGTGGGCCAGCGTTGACTTTCGGTTAGCTTTTTCGAAAATGATTTAAATTGAACCTTTTTCGAATTGTGAAGAGTTTCTAAAGTTTAATTTGAATTGTTGGCCAATAAATTTCTAGATTTGGTTGGTTCGAAGGCTTGTTAGAAAGGAAAGGATGTGGTCGAGTGATTGCTTGAGTTGTGAAGCAAGGTAAGTGTCGTGGTTAACCTTGACTTGAGGGAATAGGACTTATTTGTCTATTTGCTTCGTGATTAAATGTATGGGTACAACGTATATATGAGTTGACGCGTACTTATGTGTTATAGTTGAGTTAAAGTATTCGAGTGGAACTTATTTCTTTGTGATTTATTTCCTATTTAATTAGGATATCTATGCCTAAGTTAGGTTATTATTTATTTATTCATTCTTTCAGTATTTATTTCTCATTTAATAATTGTTGAATAATTTGGAAGTTGAGATTTGTACCCTAGTATTATATTGAACGATAAATATTAATCCCCATATTTAAATTATTTTTTCGAATTTATATTATCCTTGATCCACGGTAAGAAAGAGTGTAAAAGCACGAAGGGTGATGTCGTGCCATTTTTATATTAACATTTATTGATTTATATAGTGAGGAGGAGAGTTAAAACACGAAAGGTGATGTCGTACCATTTACATATTATCATTAATTGATTTATATAGTGAGGAGGAGAGTTAAAGCACGAAGGGTGATGCTGTACCATTTACATCATTTATTCATTATATTGTGGCAAGGAAGAGAGTTAAAGCACGAAGGGTGATACCGTGTCATTTCATGTTACTTATTACATCATTTCATGGTAAGGATGAGAGTAAAACACGAAGGGTGGTGCTGTGACATTTTTGTTCTATCAGCTACTTGTCTTCATTTTGTTCTCACAAGGTAAGGGTAAGGTCTACGTACATACTACCCTCCCCAAACTTCACGATATGGGATAATACTGGGTATGTTGTTGTTGTTGTACATGTCTTCATTGTTGATGATTTAATTGGTTGTTACGTGATATCTCTACTGCCGTAATTATCATATCTTTTCCCAGTCGCATGTTCCCTCCCAATTTTTACATTGTTAATCATTGTGTTTGTTACTGCTTTGTATATGTATTTACTTGCATAGGTTGTTTACGTAGGTATTCTGTCATAGTCTCGTTACTACTTTGTCGAGGTTAGGCTCGACACTTACGGAGTACATGGGGTCGGTTGTATTCTTACTACATTCTACACTTCTTGTGCAGACTTTGGAGCCGGTCCCAGCGACGGTCGATAGATTGCTTGGGTTGACTATTGTACAGAGACTTGAGGTATAGCTGCCCGGGGTTCGCAACCCTGAAGTCTCATTCTACTTCACCTTAGCTATGTATTTTTTTCCAGAACGCTTTACTTTCATTCAGATCTTTATGTGTATTATTCTAGTAGCTCGTGCACTTGTGACGTCAGATAAGTTTGATTTGTTCAAAATGATTAAAGATTATTTTAATGTTGGCTTGCATAGTAGGCGAAATGTTAGCCGCCGTCACGTTCCCGAGGGTGGAAATTTTGAGTCGTGACATCAGTTCTACAAGGTGGTAGTTAGACCGACTATATTGTATGGCCGAATGATTGCAAGTCAAGAACTCCCATATCCAGAAGATGAATGTAGCTGAAATGAGAATGTTGCGACGGATGTGTCGGCACACTAGGTTGGATAAGATTAGGAATGAGGATATTCCGGAGTAGGTGGGCATGGCCCCCATGGAGGATAAGATGCGAGAAGCGAGACTTAGATTGTTCGGGCATGTGAGAAGGAGAAGCATAGATGCCCCAGTGAGGAGATATGAACAGTTGGCTCTAGCGGGTACGATAAGAGGTTGAGGGCGGCCTAAGAAGTATTGGGGAAATGTGATCAGGCAGGGCATGGCCCGACTTCAGCTTGCCGATGACATGACCTTTGATAGGAGGGTATGGAGTTCGAGGATTAGATCAGAAGGGTAATAGATCGTAGTGCGTTTTTCTGATCCGTTCCAGATTTATTAGGTCTAGTCTGCTAGTACCTTATCGTTGTTCTTAGATTGGTAGTATTAGGTTGTTTTTGTACTATCTTCAGCTTCAGTTTTCTAGTACCTTGTCGTTGTTACTGCTTGTTGCTATTGTTGTTGCTTTGTTACATTCGATCCATACATTGTTGGTATCATTTTTCTAGCCTTGTTGTTGATATTTGCTTGTTTCTAATCTCTTGCCGAGGGTCTTTCGGAAATAGTCTATCTACCTCCCTAGGGTAGGGGTAAGGTCTGCGTACACATTACTCTCCTTAGACCCCACTTATGGAATCCCACTGAGTTTCTTGTTATAGTATATTAATAATGCGTACTTAATATATATATTCATAATATCGTGAAAATCTAATACAATATATATTGAATTTTGGTTATTTTTATACTTCTTATAAATATTATATCGTGAATCAATCGTTGCACTAGAAATACAATTTTCAAAAGCAAGAAAGAAAACACTGCAAAGTCCGTTTCAAGAATTCATGATAGTGGAAAAATAATATATAGCAAAATTAACTCACCTCAATTTGTATATAATGCGCATCTTAAAGTTATAAAAACTTTGTTTAGTGCAACCATTTGTAACAAATAATTTCTTTTAAATGTTTGCTAAAATTTGTATAGTTGTTTATTCACTATAAAATATAGCTAGTAGTTCAAATTTAGGAAGCTAAATGAAGTTTATGAGCGGCATTCGTATGAAAATCATATAGTATAGACATTTAAGTTATTTTTACCAATTAATATAAGAGGGGAGGGGAAATAATACGTTATGTTTTACAAAGAATAAAGAAAAATAAATAAATTGGTTGGTATATATATATACTAGAAGGGTCTGCCCGTGCAATGCACGGGCCAAACATGAGAGATGTAAACAGAATGCTTCTGAGCCCAAACAATTATAATGATCACAAAAATTATGTGTATATACACACACACTAAAATAAAATTTCACGTAGCTAAAGTAACATAATTTGTTTTTATATACAAGCATTCTGAGTGTCGCAAAATTAAATTAATCCTCAAAAGTACCTAAGATATGCATGTCTAACAGAATAAAGTACCTGTAGAAACGTTAAATAATATGTTCTCATATATTTCTTCTATTTATTGCAGCATTATAAATTCACAATAGCTGCTACAACAAACTGATAGAAACTGAAATTGTCAACAAAAATTACAATCACTATCTCTGTGTGCTTAAACCTCACGAATATCTTATATGTTCAATGAAAAAGCGCGCATTTGAAGCATGAATCTTCTTCCACTTTAAAAGGAAATCTCTAAAAAAAAGATAATTACCGATAAGGCTTCAAAGACTGTTACGCATGGAGTGCTAGCGATAGTTCCTCTTCTGGCTGTAAGAGTTGAAAGTACACTTCCCTTGGTAAGGAATATACTAAAGAGAGACCTTTTCCATATATCACTTAATGACTGAATCAAGATACAGCAAATCTGAAAATCCTTTCTCCTTCGCATTCCTCTTTGTTAACCTACATTATTAATCCAAAAATATGACAATTTTATCTAGCTTATATAGAAAACTTTAGCGTCATAGTTGCTATATCGGTTGATATCTAAGAAAGGACAACCTTCTTTCTTACAAAGCGTAGGATATGCGAACTTGGCCTCTATACTTTGAAAAAGAAAAAAGAGTAGAAAGAGCTAACCTCAGATATATGTTTCTTTAGAACCAGTATAAAGCGCCAACTGTGTTTTAGAGTCTAAGTCACATCGACTATTACCAATGACCATATTTCACCGCACTAAACAAAGATAATAAAGAAAAACAACGAAAGTATAATAGAGCCAACCCCATAAATATTGTTAACCGCTACTATCTAATAGAAGTAAATAATGTATCCAATTCATGACTGATATATATAAGTACGTTGTAGAACATCCGTCAAAAGAAAAATAGTAAAATATTATTTAGTCGTTTCAGGCATATAACACATGGGGACATCAAATATCTCAAAAATAAAGTTAAGAAAAGAGTGCCATGCATATACTATTCTAGTTCAACATTTTGCCATTCAAGTCATTCGTAAATCAAGTCATTCACTATTAATAATTCATTTATCTAGTTTACATCACATACAGATATGACTTACTTGCCCCATGCCTAATATCTTAGAGCTTATTCAAACCGAAGAATGAACACCATATGAGATAATAATTGCAAGATCTAGGTAAGATGTGTCATAAGTTTACAGAAAAATAATTATGCAAGGTTTATCACCTAGAGCATTTGGTTAACAACTCCAACAATGATGACAAATTTATCAATCGAAGGCCATGGCATGCATATTTTCTCAGAACCAATGTGCATTCTGATGAGGGCGAAATAGTTTATTCTCTCTTCTATGTGCTTATGTACCTTAAACCAAACCCTGCTTCAATCAAATTTTGTGAAATATTATTCGCATGTGTGTTATAAATTTTGGTCAAATTTGAGAAAAAAAATTACTGTACATAGTTCAAGGCACCAGTATAGGGACTCAACTGTACATCCCTATGGCTAGCCTTGTATTCAAACTGTCCATATTCAGAGCTTTTGTTACATATGTATAATCAGTTGGCATCAAATAGAATCCAAGATTATCCAAATCAATATCCATAAACTCGACATCAGTGACATCATAACAAAATAATATAGTTGATGAATCACCATATAATTTTGGAGAATTAGAATATTGCTACCTTGCTTTGGGTTGACCGAGTAATATCCCCCAGAATGAGTAGAATAGTTAACATCAAATAGCAGACGGTGTGTCTCAGGCATATAGTGCCTAGCAGTAACCTGCAAATGCAAGAAAAAGCCTGTGATCAAAACATATGTTTCTCATTCTGTGTGGAGAAATTTAAATGATAACAATCCTACTAAACCCATATAAAAGAAAAAACTGGAAATGACAACAAAAGTTCGGCAAAGACGAAGATAAAGGAAAAACAAAATCGTAAGATATAAAGATGAATACAGCTTCAGAAGCAAAACAGTCAGATGATAGACCTTTAGGATATAAAGCTGAACTTTAAATAGTCTGAGAAAGAAACTCTTTTGCGATATTATGAACTTTTTACATGAATAGAAAGACAAAAAGTATTGAGAAAGCTGCAATTGTATCATGATATCCATTTTGATCTCTTATCACCTAGAGCATTTGGTTAACAACTCCAACAATGATGACAAATTTATCAATCGAAGGCCATGACGTGCATATTTTCTCAGAACCAATGTGCATTGTGATGAGGGCGAAATAGTTTATTCTCTCTTCTATGTGCTTATGTACCTTAAACCAAAGCCCGCTTCAATCAAATTTTGTGAAATATTCTTCGCATGAGTGTGTTATAAATTTTGGTCGAATTTGAAAAAAAATTACTGTACATAGTTCAAGGCACCAGCATAGGGGCTCAACTGTACATCCCTATGGCTAGCCTTGTATTTAAACTGTCCATATTCAGAGCTTTTGTTACATATGTATAATCAGTTGGCATCAAATAGAATCCAAGATTATCCAAATCAATATCCATAAACTCGACATCAGTGACATCATAACAAAATAATATAGTTGATGAATCACCATATAATTTTGGAGAATTAGAATATTGCTACCTTGCTTTGGGTTGACCGAATAATATCCCCCAGAATGAGTAGAATAGTTAACATCAAATAGCAGGCGGTGTGTCTCAGGCATATAGTGCCTAGCAGTAACCTGAAAATGCAAGAAAAAGCCTGTGATCAAAACATATGTTTCTCATTATGTGTGGAGAAATTTAAATGATAACAATCCTACTAAACCCGTATAAAAGAAAAAACTGGAAATGACAACAAAAGTTCGGCAAAGACGAAGATAAAGGAAAAACAAAATCGTAAGATATAAAGATGAATACAACTTTAGAAGCAAAGCAGTCAGATGATAGACCTTTAGGATATAAAGCTGAACTATAAATAGTCTGAGAAAGAAACTCTTTTGCGATATTACGAACTTTTTACATGAATAGAAAGACAAAAAGTATTGAGAAAGCTGCTATTGTATCATGATATCCATTTTGATCCATTCAATTCCCAATTTTTTCATGAGAACTTTCATTGTAAGTTGTGGAAAGTATTCCATCTGTTGGTTTCTTTAACCAGCTTCCCATTTAAAAACATAACGACATCTAAATGGCTTTTTCTTGCAATTAAACAAAAAGTTTGGTCTTTTTCTTCTCTTTAGTTCCAATTTGATGAACAATGATTTTAATCTTGCGATATGCACTAATAGATCAACAACAATGACCCAGTATAATCCCACAAGTGGGGTCTGGGTATGCACTAATAGATCAACAACAACGACCCAGTATAATCCCACAAGTGGGGTCTGGGTATGCACTAATAGATCAATACATAATAATAGAACTAAACAACACAAGAAAGAGTAGTGTTTTAAGCCATGGCACGAAACATCCTTCAGTATAATATATAACACATAATATATTTACTAATTTAAGTATAATAAATACGTAATATATTTACTAATTATGCCGCTGACAATTGAGTGTTGCACTTCATATAGTGAATATATCAGAGAAATATATATTGCATATAAAGAAAAAGATAGCAAATTATCTTTAGCGGTAAAAAAATCATCAGCTCTAACACATAAAGGCAAACCATACGCTTGAACCTAAATTTCAAAATCGCGATCTTTAAACTATAAACCCAAAAGCTTGATTCCAGCACATGAAAGCACTAATCCATATGAACTACTAACTGTTAACAAACTCATCAAAATATTGAACAAAGATAACAAAAAGAAATATAAATATTTTCTTCATTACCTATAAACATAAAGATAATATTGGAATATTTTCACCGTGTCAAACAGTCCCAATAAAAAAATTATAAAGCAAATTTAGAAATAGATAAGCTTTTTTCTAGTGGAGATATTATCAAACACTTTATGGGCATCACTAATATTACAAGCGGATTTAAACAGAGAACGGTAAGGTAATCCACAAAAAGTTAGAGATTATATAAACATAAATCCCAAACGTCCATGTGTAATCAATACAATTATAACATGCATATAGAAAATCCAAGAACAACTACCGGAAAAATAGAAAAGTAACAGATTAGCCATAAACTCAGCGCATTAAACAAAGAAAAATAAAAAAAATATTACCTTAGCTAATTTATCTTAAATCTACAATCTCTTTGTAGACCCTGCTAGATGGATATCATTGTCAAGATCTAAGAACACAATTGCTCCAAAAAATAGTATTTTAGATGGCAAACACTATGCAAGAGTTGAACCACTAAAACAAACCTCCAAAATGGCAAATACAACAGAATCATTCAGCATTGGGTGCTAAAATGCGAGGAAATAAAGGAAATTGAAAGAAATGCATGGTATTTGAGAAGCAAAAAAATGGAAGAGAGCTAGAGAGGAAGTAGCCATAGAGATGAAAATTTGAGCAACCTAGCACTTGAGAATGAAAGGGAAAGAAGGAGACCCGGAAAAAAGAGCAACATTTGAAAGTACACGTGTTCAAAAATAATACACGTGATTCTAACCTTAACAAGAGTAGTCCACGTTTACAGTACAATCTATATTACTTTTTGTACAACTATGTTTTGCAGAGTTCGTACACCCTTTCACATTTATATATAGTAGTTGTACAACTATGTTTTGCACAGTTCGTACACCCACATATATCATTTAAGGCGGATTATACGTTATTTACATTTTTTTTTCTATACATTAAAACAGAAAACAGAGAAGTAAAATATTTTTATCATAAGCGTAAAAAGCGAACATGAAGTTATATCTAATCAAGTCGATTTTTATTCTTTTTTTTTTCTTTCAAAAGTGATGAACATCACCTTTTCTTATTACTCCATTTTATCTTCTTCTTTTTATCCCAAATCAAACATATACTATTCAGTAAACAAAAAGAAGATTGTGGACTATGCCTGTATCGTTTTATCCAAAAACAATTCCGGACTTCTTCTTCTTCTTCGTCTTACGTTCTAATGGTATTTGTAAGTTATGCTCTTTGAAATAAGCATGATATTGAGTATTTGTGGTCACCGAAGCCTAAAGGTTGTGTATGCGTCTTCAAAGCTACGAGTAAAGATGGTAAACTCCGTAGACAGGCAAAGGTAGTAAGCTGGGCCCGCACGCCACACTCCGCCATCTCCATAGTTCTGCCAAACCATTGACTCTGATACCAGTTGTAAGGCTAAAACGGTCCAAAAACACTCTTAACATGGTATGATATTGTCCGCTTTAGGCTAAGCCCGCACGGTTTTCCCCAAAAGGCATCACACTATTAAGAGTATTCAACTCCTTATAAGTAGAATCATTTTTCTTTCTACTTTCCATGTGGGACTTTGTTCACATACACCCAGCAATATCAGTGAAGGGTTCAGTATAGTATAATGACTTGACGATGCTTAGGGGCCATTTGGTAGAGTGTACAAGAATAATGTTGAATATGGTGTATTAGTAATGCTGGTATTAGTTATACTGGCATTAGTTATGCTGACATATTTATTAATTTACTAGGGATATAATTTTTTCCCCACTTTTTTGGATTATTTCAAACTTGCATAAATATAGTAGTATATTTTAATCAAGCATAATTTTTAAAAGATAATTTTGTGTATAACTAAGCTAATGCATGCATTAAAATCCATTGCATTGTTAATACCATGATTTCGTATGCATTAGTTATGCATAGGATAATACCAAATATGGTGTATAACTAATGCTTGCATAATTAATGTATAGGTTCAAAAAGTGTAGCAAATAAAGTATTAGTAGTACACAAAGCTAATACATGCATTATTTTATCTAATGCATCTGACCAAACTACCCTTTACATTTTAATCGTGTGTAATAAATATATATATACTGTATAACAATTATAATAGTTTTATGATTATAACAGTGTATAACATATGTGTATACACTACATATACTACCATATAATGTATATACATTGCTTATAGACTATAAGGGGTCGTTTGGTAGAATGTATAAGAATAGTACTGAATAAGGTGTATTAGTAATACTAGGATTAGTTTTGCTGGGTATCGACTATTTGGATTGATGTATTAAAGGTTTTGAAAGGGCAATTATGTCTTTATACATACTTATCCATGTATTAAAAATTATGATATTGTTACTGTCATGATTTGCTATGTATAAGAATAGTACTTAATAGGATGTATAATTACTACAGTATATAAGTATTAGTTATACATAAGTTAACAAATACTACCAAACAAGGTATTAATAATACCAAAAACTAATATATGTATTATTTTCCGTGATACATCCTACGAAATGACCCCTAACAGTGTATAATATATTGTTTATAACAATTGAATTTATACGCGGTTTTAAGGACACGTTATATAACTTGGTACAAATTAAGAAGAATAAATTAGTATTGAAATTGAAGATAAAAGAATAAATGCAAACCGCACAAATTAAATAGCCTTGGCCCTCGAGTTCACTCACCCTTGAACCAAAAGATGGCTCAACTAGCTTATGAAAAGAATAACAAGATAATGAAAGCTAGAAAATAACAGTATATTGCTTTGTATTGCGTGAATATCCTTTTTTTATTTTATAGATGATCAGACCCCCTTTATATAGTAGGGGAATCCTACTCTTGATACAATTTTATATGGAGTAAGAAATCCCATGATTAGCTAATTAATTGGTCTCTTCTTGATACGTGGCAGGATTTTTGCCGTGATCCTCGCCCGATTGCGGATATTTTGGCTTTCCTTTATTTGACTCGGTAAGCTTCCCTCGATCTCGCTTGATCTCTATCTTGCTTGGTCTCGATCTTGATCGATCTCTGGGTCATGAGTTCGGCAATCTAACTTGGCACCATGGTTCTATATAACACGAGGTTGAACTTTGACCTATCATGTTCTGGTCTCTACTAATCATATAAAAGGCAAGGCTGATTTTGATCGTATACAAATATTCCCCTCATTTCTCGAAGAGAGAATGACGAGAAACGATATGAATTTCTGAACTCCGTCTCGATGAACCATGACGTAAGCGATGAACTCACTGATACACCCGATCATGACATAAGCAACAACTTGAAACGTCCCATCGGTACAATTTCCAAGGTATTAAATGCCTGTCAGTTGCTGGTCGGCCACCACGAGTTCTGAACCGTCACCGACAAGCTATAAGTACTGTAACCTCCCTCTATTTCAGACTTTACGTTCAAAGCTTCTCCCATTCTTGCTTCTCTTCAAAAATCTCTTTGATTTGCAATTCTTGTACTCAATTTTTTTGAACTTTTAGCAAACCGCATACCATCCTAATTTCTTTTTCTTCTACGATGGCGAAAACTTCTAAGACTGTACCTCAAAAAGAGGTTTCCTCTTCATCACGGCCCACTGGTGACTGGGTTGCGGCAGAGTATCCCCTTGAGGTTCCAGGAGGGTGCCCTACTATTGTTGATTTTAAGATAAAAAAGACCTCCTCGGTACCGGGTCGATGCAAACCGATCTCGAAGTATATATATGTACAATTACTGATGACCTCCTTGCCAAGGTAAAAGAGGATTGTAACTGGGTTGATAAACATGTGGTGGTACCTTTGCCTGAGGAACCGATCACTACCCACGTGGAGGGTTTCCTAAGTGTTTACACTTACCCCTTCATGTTGGGTCTCTTAGACCCTGCCATCATCGCCTTCTGCAAGAGGTACGATGTGAACCTTAACCAGATCCATCCTTCCTTTTGGAGAATAGTGATTCTCCTCCGATTCTTCGTAAGCCAAATCGAGGGATGTCCTTTTACCCTAGATCACCTTATGCGCCTTTACAATCTATAACTCTATCAAGGAGGGCTGATCAAGCTTGCTCGTCGGGCCAGCAAGGCCCCGTTCTCGAGTATAGATGAGGCTCGTGATCGAGGTTGGATGGGCCGATTTGTCCGAATAAGGACTTTGGGCCTAATCCCTATAGAAGACATGCCATTTCCTGAAAAATGGAACACGAATCGTGAGTATTACTTCGCCTTGAATTTTCAATTTTGCTGTTTTATGTCTTATATTCCTTCCTCATCTATGTTTTTAGTGTTGCAGATGTGGCTCAGGTGCCGGAAGTAGTTCCCGAACTCAAGAAATGGGCCGAGGTCCTGGTGTCGCAGAGATCATACTCCGAACATGCTTGCATGGAGTTATCGAAGGGTCAATGGGAGGCCCACAATCATGGTAATTTTCTTTTTTAGAACAGTTATCTTTCGGGCTTCTTCTCGAGCTTACTCATCTTTTTTCCTTTGTAGGCCTTGATAACTAGGGATTCTAGTTCATTTTACACTCCTTTTTACTTGAGTTTTGGATTAAAAATGTATACAAATAGTCCCAAAGACTTACATGTTGTACTTGTTAGCAGGTATGGTTAAAAATGTGACAAGTAGTCAATACCAACTCAAAAAGGAGTAAAACATGCACAAGTATCAAGAACAAGTCAAGGCATTGCTGTAACATAAAATCCACTACAGCCACAACAGACCCACCATGGCCACAGATCATTTAGTGCGGTCCGCGGTGCAAGAGTTTAGAGAGGTGCGGTCCGCGGATAATTTCTCGCGGTCGCAGTAGCCTCTTTGCGGCCGCAAACCATTTTATGCGGTCCGCGGAGAGAGGATTCAGAGAGTTGAGAATTTGGACAAATCAAGCTAGCGCAGTCCGCGATCTGATTTTGTGCAGACCGCAGTGAAGTCACCGCAGCCGTGGTGCAATTTATGCGGTCCGCGGTGGCCAGATTCAGAGACTGGTCAATTGAAGCTAAAAGCTCCACTGCGGCCGCAATCCATTTCTTGCGGACTGCAGTACCTCCGTCAGGGGTATTTTTGTCCAGAAAATTCGGCCTAGTATAAATACCTTCTTTTCACATTTTTAGATCATCTTTTGTAATCCGTTAGAGACCAGAGCACGCGAACGGCGTTTTAGTTCCATTTTGAGTAATTTGTAACTAGATTAACACTGAATCTTCATTATCTTAGTTTGTAATCAAATCATATGAGTTATTCTCCATCTATTTGTCTGTTTTCTTCCATTATTATGAGTAGATAGACCAATTAGCTAGGGTTATGGCTCAACCCTAGTGTGAGTATTTGATGGGTCTTTTGTTTTAAGGCTTAGATGTTTATGAGTAGTTAATATTTGGACTGATTTGTGTTTTCCATATTGAATTAGTGATTGCAAACGCTAATTTGTTTTGACTTGGGTTCTTCTTGAGAAAGAGAGCTTGAGTCTAGGAAAATTAGTCCAACAAGGAATTGGGGCGTAATTAAGAGATTGATAGCCCCAATTAAAGGGTTAAACCTAGAGATAGTAATACCCAACTTGAGCCTATATTGCTTGCACAATTTTGACACCCAATTGGTCTTGAGAAAGTCTATTAGGTTAAAGTCACTCAAGCTACCGAAAGGTATAGAGTGAGTAATTCTGTGCATTGGCTATATCGCAATCACCAGCAT